TTGGTGAGCTGCTGTGCCAAGGCTGGGTTAACTTCCAAAGGCTGGGTGAGCTGCTATGGAAAGGCTGGGTTAACTTCCAAAGGCTGGGTGAGCTTCCAGAGCCCGGCCAGCTCAGCTCTGGGATGCAGACTGCCCTCCAGGAAGCCTCACGGCTCCTCTGGTGCCCTCAGAGATGAGGAATTCATTAAAAATGAGGGTAATTAGCGCCCGGTCCTGACTCCCCCCCCGCTCCCAGGCCAGCAGCGCAGCGTCACCTTCTGTTGAGCTCATTACCTTCTCGTTGAGCAGAATGAGGCCGAGCAGAGGCCGTGACATGGACCACTGGTTCCTGCAGTCCTCGAAGATGATGATATTCAGCACAGTTGACAGCATCTGCAAGAGGAAAACGGAGCTGAGATCCTTCCAGCCCAGCCCTGCTCCCAGCCGGAGCAGAGCAGGATCCTCTCATCTCAGTGAGTGCCTCCATGCACCGGCGGCTCTGGGATCCTCCTGCAGCCTGCACAGCTTTGTGCTTCGTGGCCTCGTTATGAAGAAGGAGGAATTAAAGCCTGCATTTGACCCAGCTGCTTTGGAAGATTCTCTTTTACCCTTGAAAAGCAGCTTCTGGCCCCAATGGCTTCAGCTCCACTTGAGCTCCTAGCAAGGACGGCGCAAGGCGCCCTGCCTTCGGTGGGGCTGTGCTGACATTGGCACCCGAGGGTGGGAAATGGTGAGGGGAGCAGCTGGAGGCACAGGGGAGCACAAGGTTCTGTGAGCTCTGAGCACGGCCTGGGGCAACACTGCAGGGCCTGCTGTGAGCACACAGAGCACCCTGCCCTGCTCCAAGGTGATGAAAGGTGCGTGAAAGCAGCGCCCTGCGGGTGGCTGCGCGTCGCTCGGCTTCGCTTCTATCGACTGCCAGCACCACAAGGAGAATCCTCCCTTGCACGGGGAGAACCACAGCCCCAGCCGTGGCTCTGAAGCAGCCCTGCCATTCGATGGGGTGCAGGAAGGGGCTGCGGTGGGCAAAATTGCCTCTGCCTCGGTTTAAACCCAGGGCGGCGCGGCAGGAGCTGACAGCAGGAGCAGCCGGGGCTCAGGGGGGGCTGAGGGCCGTTCTCACCTGCTGGATCATCTCGGGGTGCTGCTGCATGATGTGCAGAAAGCGGTCGCTCTCCTGGGTCAGAGGCGTGGTCCTCTTCTTGGTGCTGCGAGACAGCTGCTTGAAGAGATAGGTGACTATGTGGTCCAAACAGGAGCAGCAGCCCGTGCAAACCATGGTGTCTGCAGGAAGAGGAGAGGCAGAGGTTGGGATGCTGCTCACACACAGCTGGGCAGGACCCAGGGAAACGCTGCCATTGCTCTGGGAGGTGAGAATCACCCACAGCCATCGGCGCCCCCCTCCCCAGCCAACCTACATCGGCTCCAAATAGCAGCCAGGATCTTTTCCCCACTCCCAAAGCAAAGCCCTACAAGGTGAACGACAGAGAGCAGAGGTAATTACCCAGTGCAGTGAGGCCTTCTGAAATGGAAGAGAGAATATACATGATTACGTGAGGCTCCAGACTGGCTATAAAGTTCATGTGGTCCTGGGTCAGAACTTCCAGCAAGGAATAGTACGACTGGCTGAGCTTGGGATAGTCCTGCAGGGAGAGAGAGGGACGCCTCAGGCCTCCTGGCCGCCCTACAACCCAGCAGAGACCTCCTGCACACCCATCCCACCCGTTTATCACCTCAAAACTGCTCACTGCAGCTCCTGGACAAGAGAACAAAGCTTTCCTGCAGCGTAACCCATGGGCCAACAACGTTTTCTCCCTTCTCTCCCACCGCCTGCCTTCCAAACAGGCTCCACCAACACAGCCAGCTTCCAACGCTGCTCTATCTGAACATCTTTCCCTTCTGAAGGGGAGCATTTGCTGCCTGCTGCCAAAGCTGGGGGTGCAGGGGCAGCAGCTGCCTGCCTCACCTCCAAACCCACCCGGCAGCTCCAGGCCCAGCAGCCCGTTCTGGCCATTCTTCCTGCAGTCGGTGCCACAAAAAACCCAGAGCAGGGCAGCTCTCCTGTCTGCCCACAGAACCCAATGCGGCTCCTTTCAAATTGCTGCTGAGAGCGAGATGGCGAGCAACGGGCTGCCGTCCCTCCTCCCTGTTTGGAGCAGCAGGGCCGTGCTGGGAGCCTCAAAGCTCTGCCACCAAACGGATTGTTGCACAGGAGCAAAGGCGGACGTTAAGTGCTGATGGTGGCAGACACAGAGACCAGGTGCCAACCTCTGCCCACAGGCAACGCAGGGAGGCAAAACCCTTCGCTGCAAGGAAGAGAAGCTTTGGGAATTGTTCTGCTGAGGTTTGGAGCCTGCCCTGCTGGGGGAGGAGCAGCAGGCGGCCCTCAGCGCAGCGCAGGACCTGCAGCCACACATTGCAGGAGCTGCGATTTCCTGCTGTGCCAAACTGGGTTTCTGTGATTCAAGTATTGCTTTCCTGTACAATCTGCGTGCTGACGCTGCTCGTGGCGGCTGCCTGCTCACCAGGAGGTCGCTGTGAGGGATGGAGAGCAGGAGCTTGATAAAAGTTTGCAAGGCGTTGTCCAGCGCGTCGTCCCCGTACAGACGGAACACCCCGAAGTTGACGTAGCTCCCGCTCAGCGCGGCCTTCAGCATGGAGAAGCAGATGGAAATGCCCTTCAGCTTCAAGGCGTAGACCTGATCCTTCGGGACCTCCCCAAGCGTTAGGATTCGATTTCCTGTGGGAGCACGGCACAGGACTCAGTGTTTCAGCGACCGCATTCGATCCCCTTCTGCCCCAGGGCGAAGGCGAAACAGCAACGAGAAAAAGGCAGAGCAGATTGATTTCCAGCCATCAGTTCAGGACTGAGCTGAAGGCACGGCTCTGCGCAGCTCTGCTGCGGAAACAGGATGCAGGAGCACAGGGCTGCCTTCCACTTGCTTTGCAGGCCTGCCCTTGTCAGCTTGCACACCCTGAGGGGCTCAGCCAGGCTTCCTGCTCACTGCTGTCACTTTCTTCCACGCTTTCCCGGTGAATGAGCCCCACTACCCAGCACTCGAAGCAGCAGCAGCTCCCTGCGTCCCAGCGCTGCCCCCCAGCCCCCCTCCCCATGCAGAGGAGCTGGGCAGGCCGAGCTGCCTGCAGCCCCCTGGGCACGCACCGTACGTAGTTATCATTTTACTGGTCTCTCTGAAGAGCAGGATGCCATTCGGCGAGGACACGTCAAACTGCAGCCGTTGGGACCTAAGAGACAGCAGAGAAACTGAAGCTGAGCCATAGGTGGGAACGGAAAGAAGCTCACACAGCAGAGCCACGCTCCTCCCTGAGTGCCTCTGCTCTGCTTGACTTCTGCTGCTCAGCACCAGCAGGCTGTGGGCACCAGGCTCTGCTTGCAGACGTCAGGAAGACGATGAGGCTGAGGGTGGGAATCCTGCCGTGGCGACGGTCGCCAGGCTGCTGTACACAAACACAGCGAGCATCTTGGAAGGCAGCGCTGCTGACTGGCTCCTATTCATAACGTGACCAAAAGTTCACAGCTTGGCGTTTCTAGCCCTGCAGTGAATAGATCTCCAACTGAAGCGCAGCGAGCTGTTCAGGTCACCTCTGAAATAAACGAGTGACTTTTCCAGGAAGGTTCGTCCTGGCACAAAGACGCCATTGGGCCGTGCTCAGTCTGACTGCAGGGATTCTCAAGAGCCCTGCAATGACCACGTCTGAACCTTCTGTCCTTTCCACTCGGCTGCGCCGATGCTCCCTTCCTACAGGGCCGCGTTCAGCTGGCCGCGGGCCCGAGCAGCACCCTGGCAGCCTTCCACTGCTACACCAGACAGGCTGGGAACGACCTGAATGGCGTCAGAGGTCCCTCAGCGCTGGCAGGGAGCTCGTGGGTCGAAGCAGAAGCCATCAGCTGCTGCCAGGCGGAATTTAAGGGCAGCTTTTGCCAATCCACACAGCTCTCCTGCTTCCTTCCAGACACACGCTCAGAAACTCAGCGCTTCTCTTGGTCTCGCTGAGCCACGACTGCTGTCTATGAGCTATCAGCTGTCCTCCCCCCGCTGAGGTTTTCCCCCCCTCCCACTCTTGGTGGTACGAGCAAAGCAAAGCAAACAGGGCTGTCAACAGCCAGCCTACGGCTGAAGCAGCAGACGGGCGCCCATCTCTGGCAGCCTGGGGCCGCTGGGCTTCCTACCTGTTATGCACCAGCTCAGCCATCAGTTTGAGCACAGGCGTCGTGCAGGCTGGGTCGTGGTACCAGAGCTCAATGGCCCGCTGTAGGATGGGCATGTAGGATGGGTAGCTGGGAGGTGAGAGCTAAGGAGCTTTGTTGCTTCGTGTGAAAGAGAAAGATCCCTGTTTCTATACCAAAAGCCTCGTTTTGCACGCTGCGTCCTTGTAAAGCGGCCTGTGGACAAGGCTAAGCAGAGCTGGTGCTGCTTGCTGGTGTCTGCTTTACCTTACAGGTGAGAAGAGAGAAAAACCTTGCAGGTGCATGGAAGGAATTGTGTGCTCACTCCTTTTAACAGCACAAACCAGAACCAAAAGGGCTCTGGAAGAGAGAAACCGGAAGAGGACCTTCAGCACCCGAGGGACATTTGGAGTGCAGGTGCCCAGTGAGCACAAGGAAAGCTTTCGTTGGTGCTGGGATGCACGAGGCCCATTAAGAGCCTTTGTGCTTTCCAGGTCAAATCTCTGGAGGCCCGTTTGGAAAAAGCCCAACGGTTCAGCTCTGAGCTGATGTCTGTGTTGACGTGGCTGCAGACAGAGCAACTCAGAGCTGTCTGAGGGCCTGCAGACACCAGGAGCTACAGAAGCCAAGAAAAACCCCAGCCTGAGTTTAGCAGGAAGAGCAGGGCATTGGGATGCAGTCAGAGCTCCCAGCAGGAGGGCTCCACAGACAAGGATACATCCACTCAAACAGCATCATGAAGCTGGTCTTGGCGTTGAAGGCAAAGGCGATTCCCCTCAAATCTCTCACCAAACCAACCAAAGTTCTCTGCGTTGCAAAAGAAAAACCACGTTGAAAGGATCCGGGCCCCTCCAGTCCACCAGCCCACAGCTGCCTCCCTTTCTCCCACCCCGGCAGCAGCGTGTTCCCATGGCTGCTGCCCATCCAGGTCGGACAGTTTGTCCTCTGAAGTGCCAGAAAGCTGCTTTAAGCTGAGTTAGGGTAGCGACGGCGCTGGGGTATTTTGCTCCCAGCTGCCTGATAAGCCTCCCACCTTTAATTGTGAACTGCACACTGGAGGAGCACACAGGACATCCCTGCTTCTCCACGTAACGGCAGGAAAGCACCCGTCGGCCCAGCCACAAACCTGTCTTAGCAGGGGGCAGCACAGACAGCAGGCAAGGTTGCACCAACTTACTTTCGCCTCTTGTTCGTTGAAGGTGTTTGTGCTGAACATCTGTGCCACAGTCTCAAAGGCAGCTGTCAGGGGAAGCATGAACTGCTCGTACTGATCCTCATCTTCTCCTGAAATGAGACAGAAATCGGGAGGAAACAGACTGCCCATCCCTGCAGCTCGGCCCCTCTGAGCCATGCAGACTCTGGTCACCCACACAGCCGGAGGCAGGGAGGCCCTGTGCTGCCAGGCAGGCGCTCCATCACTGCCAACGTCCAACCTACAGGACAGGCTCAGAGCAAACCCTGCCATCCCAGGACAAAGGAACAACTCGGTCCCGGTCTCCAGCTTCTTTCCCTTCCTTTCTCACTCCCCATTTAGCTTTTCCCATCCTGGCATCCTTTCTGGAGGAGCTTACTGCTCTCTCAATAGCAGGGCTCAGCGCAGTGCGGGGCCAGCATCCAAACCACACAGTTACTGCTTAGCTCTGGATCCCAGACAAGGCCCCAGGTACCTAAATCCACCATGAGAAGACGCCCGAGTGCCGTGTAGAACGTAGTCCGACATCTCATGTCAGTCAGGTTGGACTGATTGTTAATGCCCAGGAAGGAAAAGTGCTCACTCTGCAAACAGAAGAGGCAGGTTAAAGGAGAACCACCTGCTGGAGGAGGCTCCCGGGTTCCTCGTTCTCCTGCCTAACGCTGAGCCTGGGCAGCGATGCCGAGGAAGCTGTGCGGGATGTCAGAGCACCAGCAGAGGGCAACGCGCACCGTGCCGGCAGGACGCAGGGAGCTGCGCTGCCCACCCAGCCCCCCTGGCTGCCAGCAGATCCCTGCACTGCCGCTCTTCAGCCGGGAGCTGCCCCGGAGCCAAGAGGAAGCCTTGCTCCCCCCCCTTCCTCGTGGGGCTCCTTCAGGTGTCCCACGTACAAAAGCAGTCCCTGCTGCCAGATCCCCGCTTGCTCTGCCTTCACACACGTGGGAAAGCAGCAGCCCTACGGAGCCAAACCAAATGCAGCTCCTGGAGCAGAGCTCCGCCTGTAAAACATCCCCCAGCCGGAGGAACAAAGCGCCCCGTTCAGGCGGTCAGTGGACACGGCTCCCATGGCTGCAGCACTGAACGGCCACGCATCTGAGAGGAGAGGCAGAAATCCTCTGCACTCTGCCGCTCGCTGTGACACTCTGGATTTCCAATCAGCATCCCAGGGCAGTGAGGAGCAGCGCTGCTACCCCAGAGCTTCCTCCGAATCAGCGCTTTCACCGTGGAAGATGGGGCACTGAAATTGGCTTTAACTTCTGGAAGCAGTGCTGCTGCCCTTCTGTCTGCATGGCGGCGGTGCTGCCTGCCTCCCGCTGCACACAGCTGGCTTTTGGTGCAGAGTAAAACAGCCCCACGTTAGCCCTTGTGGGATGGAAGGCACCGTGTAATTACAGCCCCTCCAAATTGAAGGGCGGACAAAGAGATCCCATTTTTAAGTACGATGGAAGAGAGGAGAACTTTGAGTCCGAGTGCTAAAATTGGGGGTTACCTCAGCTCCGGAGGGCAGACGGAGGAGTTGGTGGTGAGATGCTTACCGTGTGATTGTTCAGCATGAACTGCACAGCGCTCAGCTTCACCAGCTTTCTGACGCTGCTGTACGTAAGGGGGGGTTAAGGAAGCTGCACGCAGCAGAACACCTGCAATGCCTGCAAAGCGCTTTCTAGGGCGAGACTGGGGGAAGATTTGTGTCTGTTTTATTGACTGCACTGTAGGTTCTCTCCCATCTGTCTCAAGAGCAGCCCTCACCAAGCTGCACACGCCTCTGCTGCAGAGAGCTGAAGGGATTTGCTTCTAAACTCAGGAAGAACAAATAGGAGAGCATCGAGCAGACCGTGGACAAATCAGCACTGTGGGAGGTGAGCTGCAAATGATCCCAAGTTGGAGAGGGATGGCGCCAAAGCCTTTGGTTACACCTCAGCAGCCCAGGAACGCGGCGCTGAGGCACCTGCACTCGCTGTCTTCTCAGCAGCCTCGAGGTGAAGCCGTTCGGCCATCTGGGAGACGCAGGGCGCCGCTGTTCCAGCCGAGCACCTGGCTGCTCTGCCCTCTGTCCTGCACCCCACAGCTCTTCGGAAAAGGATATCCGATGGACAGGTCGTTGAGCAGCTGCAGCGTCTTGGAGGTGATGGGCTCACATCGACCCCAGTACTTCAGGTTGGTGATGCTAGGGAAGAGGACAACAGCACAGGTCAGAGGGCTTTGCTCGGCCTCCCCTTGGCTGCGCAGAGGATTTTTCTGGTCCAAAGTCACCCGACATCGGCAGCTCCACCCTCCACCAAAACCACAGACATTACAAGCCACGAAATATTGGTATAAAATCACTGTACTTACATTTGGTTGACTAGAAAATTATCCTTCAGATAATCTTCACTACTTGGGTCCCAAGCTACACTGGCCCATACCCAGGCCCTTGGAATTCTGTGGCACTCCAGGGCTGGTTTCTGCAGCAAGGGTAAGAGAATTCTGCGGCAGTGACTACATGCAGACGTATGCAATTCTGCACCTGCACCATCCACTGTCAGCTGCAGAATTCTAGTAGCCCTTGCTTCTTTTCCAGGAGAGCCGCTTCACCCCTCGACAAGGCGCAGCTCAGGCGCGTGAGGGCGGGCAAAGGCCCGTGCACCTAACGAGGGGGCGATGCTGCAGAAGCCAAGGGAGCTCGGAGCCAGCTGCTGCACAGCCCCAGGCACACGGCACTGGGATTCGGCCTGGAGCTGGGGAGGTGCTTGGGAATGCTAACAGAGCACAGCCAGAGACAGGCTGGGCCACGGAGCTGCGCGCTGGAGTGGAAGAGCTTTAGGGAAAGGACCTGCGCTACCCTGGCACCGACCAGCACAAGTGGCTCTGAAGGAGCAGCGCCCTCCCCACAGAGCTTTCCGGGGCTGCTGGTTGCCAATGTCCCCCTCTCTGAGTGCTTTCACTGGAAAAAGAATCCGTCATCCTGGTGCACGGGTTCCTGTTGTGCCTCCACGGCCCAGGCTACAATCCACGGTGCCTCAATCAATCCTGCGTGATCGTTTAAGTCAGCCCTCGATCACAGCCTGCAATTCTCTCAAGTAGCCAGATGTTACTGGTTTTAGACAACAGCTCCCTCATATTCCAGTCTTCCTGGTTACACCTTCCAACAAGCCCTGGAACCTCCGCTGCCTGCAGTCAGGAACACTTACATTTTCCCTATGAAGACGCTCAGGACCATGGTCTCATCGTTCAGCCCCAGGACCTCTGAGAGACGGCGGTACAGCTGGAGGGAAAGACAGCACCGACTCAGAAACCGCCCACAAAGCAACGAGCCATCCGGGATCGCTTCGTTCCCATTTGTCCTCCCTTCGCAGCCACAGGCTGCTGGCAGAGAACCCAGCTCTGAAACAAGGGTGTTCCTGTTCCTTGTGTTCTGAGAGTTCTCTTCTGCCTGTCAAGATGCACCAAGGCACCCAGAGTCCGGCCCATCTACCACTGCCTTGTAATTAAGAGAATGGCTATTTGCTTCAGAGCTGAGGAAACCAGGCACAGATACGGCTTGGCTTCCTGCTGGGTGTTGTATCAAGTGACTTTCACGTGTACGGAGCCTTAAGGGCCTCTGTGAAGTCACAGAAGGAAGCTGGTGGATAAAACCGAGCCCAGATCTCAAGTTTAAGGCTGCTGTCACCATTTCTGCCTCCTTCCCCACGCACACAGGGCAGCTCAGGGTTTGAAGCGTTAACGCAGATCCAGAGCAGGCAAGTCTCCTAAGTGCCACCTGCTTTCATCCCAAAAAGTGAAGCTACGACTGCCCTTGGCATGGCAAAAGACACAAAGGAGATTACCTTGGAAGACTTCTGCACCTGATCTCCAATATAGATCTTCCGGAACTGCTCAAAGAAGCTCAGCATGGCAAGCTCCAACTTCTCATTGCCAGCCTGTGCCAGCCGTGAGTCCGTCAGGTTCATCAGCTGCAGCACCCTGCAAGGAGGGGGGAACAGAGGTCACTGCTGCTGGATGCAGGAGCACTGAGGGGCTTCAGGCACCCAGGGCCGCTTCCAGCAGCGCTTTTTACTTTCTGCATCGCTGCTTTGGGTCAGCAGTTAACTAAAGTGACAACAAGACGACTGGCATGCATTGCTTTTCTGTGCAAGGCCACTCTAAGGCCTCCACGTCCCTTCCAACAGGGATGGCAGGCCCTGGATTTAACTTGCTAAAGCAGGGAGTTGCAGGTGCTGTAGCACCGCTTCTCCAGGGACGGATCCAGCCTGTTAAGCACTGCTTCCTCCCTCTCAGTGACACTCCACCTGGCTTCTGTTGTGAGCCCTGTGGGAAGCTGCGTGCAGGGCAACCAGGGCTGGGACTGCAGGGTGACACAGTGCAGCAAACAGGGGGCAGAAGAAGTGACATCCCAGCCAGTGCCACAAAGCACAGATTCTTATCAGCACCCAGCATACACGCTGGCCCTGAGAGTGACTGTCATATACACGAGGTCTCACCATTTCCCCTTCAGTAACTACTTGGGAAGCCAATGCTTGGTGTAATTTATCAGCCTTGGCTCTCCAACAGACCAGCTTCCACACCTGGCCAGGTGAGCTCCCTCTTCCCACCCTTGCAGAGCACAGCAATTAGCTCTGAACTGCAAGGCATTCAGTGTGGCTCAGGGCTGTTTGTAATTCTCACATCCAACCAGTGGTTGCACTGCTTGCACTGAGGGTTTACCATCCCCCAGATCCATCAGAGGACAACACAAAGCCTTAAACACGTGCAGAAGGGCTACAACACCTGCAGTGTATCAAGCACAAAACCCACTTTGGGTTTTTAACAAGAGATTTCCCCCCCCACCTCAGAGAACCATCGTTCATTTAGTTCTACTTCAACGCAGGCACTGAAGCCCAGGATGAACCGCCCTCTTTCACGCTCTTCCCCTCTCACCCTCTTCCTTCCAACCCAGCCCTCCCAATTTAGCCAAGCCTCAGCAGAAATCTGAGCTGCCAGTCCCTTCTTTCAGGATGGCCAATCCCACACCGTTCTGTCCAGCAAAGAGAGGGGAAGAACATGGTGACAGCTTCGTGACAGCACTTCTTGGACAGACTTGAAGAGTGGTGCAGCTAGAAAACAGTCAGCATCCCTACCGACAGACCAGCTCGCCGTCCATCGCATCCTGCTCATCTGTGCTGGCAAATGAGACCCTACCACCAATCACTGCCCCGATGATGTAGACGAGCCACGTCAGGCGCCCTGCAACCAACAGAGGACATCAGAACCAGGCGCCTCACATCACAGGCAGGAAGTGAGGAGCCCTGCACTTCAGGTTGGCAAAGATGGGATTCTCTGTCTGTTTTAGTGCCAAGTATGCCAGCAGTACAGTTCCCCAAAACAAGCACGTCTTGACGAGGGAGGGAATGGAGGATGCCAGGTCTGCTTGGAAGATGTTTGTTATTTCAAGCTATTCCTGAGCAGAAAGTCACTGCCTGGTAAAAGCGCATCCTGTGTTATTTAAACACGTGCAGCGCCAGCAGGCAGCACTTATCCTGTCAAAATCCATGTGTCTGCTGCAGAAATCAGCATCACTGAGCTCTGCCCACACAGTGGCACTGCAAGAGATCAAATACTGCTTCGGAAGGAAGCTGTGGTCTCTAAACTCGTGCTGATGTGCCCGATTTCTGCAAGGAGGGCCTGCAAGCCAGCTGTGTTGTAGAGAAAGGGGCGAAACACAGCCGTACCCACCTCTCAAAAAAGGTGCTGCTTTTCCTGTGGCTGATGTGAAAGGATTCCTACACCAAAGAATGGCAGAGCACCCAGTACTGCACACAGACTCCCCTTCAGACAGAGGTTTGCAGCTTTCTCCCAGTTATTCATCCCAGCCAACTGCTGCCCAGGCAGAGTTGTTCAGATGAATGCTGCTCACCCTCCCTCACACAAAAGACAGAGCAGCACGGCTCATCACCCATCACGTGGATCAGAGAACATCCTTAAAACCCACCAGTGTGAGAGCGGCAGGCAGATGGATGAAATCGTTCCCCCAGAAAGGTGTGCAGTCAAACTACAGGACAGCAGCACCTCCAGCAAGCACTGCTGTGCGTGTTGGCAACGTCTGCCCACAGCCAAGAATATTCCGTACCACACAACACCTCCCAAGGGAAACACGTGCAAAATCTGGCCGCCCTGTGTGCGTTTCAGCAGGACTGCAGGCTGCTGGCAGCGCTGCTCTCCCACAGCTCACCTTCCTGCACAGCAACGTCCATGGGGCTGGCGGTGGCGCTTTGCAGCAGCTCCTGGTAGGACTGGGCCGACTGGTCAAAGAGCTGCACCAGCAGAGCGCACGTCTTCTCATACTCACACCGGCCGATGGTGGAGAGCTGATCCAGCTGCTGCTGCACCAGGCCGGTGTCATCCAGGGGATCCTCCAGACCGTCCCTGCGTGGTGAGAGAGCGGCTCAGATAAGGACTGACAAGGCAGCGGCGGCCCAACCTGGAAGATGAGCCCATGGAGGCGCTTGCCCTGGGCACAAGCACTGCACTGAGCGAGGGCTCCGTGGGGACAGAGAGCTGCACCCACTGAGTGGTGATCTGAAGGCTGCTGCAGCCATGAAAACAGGAGTGGATGGGGTGCAGGGACCCCGAGGAGCTGGGATGAGCAAGCTCTTCTTACACCTTTCTGCTTACAGATGGTTAGCTGAGCGCCAGCAACAACTTCTCTGTCTGGCTGTCTTTGTTACATCAAGCTTCCCATCTTTCCTCGTGCTTCAGCTTCCTTTCTCTCTAACTGCATCAACCTCAGCACTGCACTGCCAACACCGAAATTAAATAGACCTGCTGTTCCACCCGTGCTTCCTCAGGAGGGATAAGCTCATCTGTCTCCCCTTCACAGATTATTTTTCTATGCCTGCCATACAAACACAAGGTGTAACTCATCCCAGGCAAACAAAGGCACTGCAGCAGGGTCCTCCGGGCTGCCTTCCCATTCAAAGTAAAGGGGAGACTTTCAGGCATGATTTGTGCCATCCCACAGCAGATGGAAAATTCACAGAATCACTTTTTATGTGCTTCTCCCTCTCTGTTAGGAGGGGAATTCGGAGTGCAAATGGCATTACGCCATTTGGGTGGGTGAGAGCACCTCTGAAACCACCCGGATCGACCTCAAACACGAGAGTGACCGAGGTCTAAAGGAACAAAAAAAGCTTAGAAGATGCATGTTTAACACAGCATAACAGTAGACAGAAGGTGAGATTAAGGTAAGCTTCCCCCAAAAACCCTCTGGTGATCAGCAGGACTTCCTGCAGCCACATCTGCTCCTAACAGAGAACTCGGGACAGAAGCACTAGAGCCTCCTGTGCCAGATCCCGGTGCCTGCAGCAGCATTGCCATCTCTCTGCTTTCCATACCTCAGTATGATGTGCACAGATTCCAGTCTGGACGTGATGTAGGCCTTTGTGACTTCAGGTGTGTACGTTTCCAGCATGTGAGGCTCGGTGGCTTTCACGTAGGGCACCGACGCCGCCAGGCGCTGCCACAAGCTCAGCAGATAGTGAACACTGTTTGGTGCAAACTCCCAGTGCTGAAGAGCCAGCAGAAAGGAAAGGAAATCAGTGAGCTGTGATTATTTTATCCACTCGTTTTGACTCGGACAGCACAGGAAGAGCAACAGCCAGCGAGGGCAGGCGAAGCACCTCGTACCTGCAGGCTGGTCACGGTGAAGTTGGCGATGAGTCGGATGACCTCGGGGTAGTTCTCCACCTTCACCAGCTCCCCCAGCTGGTAATTGCTTTTCAATCGGGCCAGCAATCGGCAGAACTCGTGGTAGTTGTTTGGGTCTGATAAACTCTGAGAGGGGAAGAAGAAAGAACTGAGAAACAGCGCCGCTCAGCAATGGGAAGAGGCAGAGATGGGACGGAACGGAGCGGCAAAACGTCGCCCCGCTGTCCCCAGTGCCAAAGGTGGGATGTGTGCATTAGAAAGCACTGCTGGAGAAGGAACTTGAAGCAGAGGGAGCAGAGAATCCCAGTGCCTGCGCTCAAACTCTCACCTGAGGGTTTTCCAGTATTCGCTTGACTCCATCAACGAGATGAGACAGAAACTTTGCTCGTTCCGCATTGTTGAAGAGGGATCTGCGTACAGAGGCGATCTGCACTAAACAGGACAACACCTGAACGGACAGGGATGAGCAGAAAGGAGGGGTCAGAGCACCAGAAGGAGCAACGAAGTCACCCTCAACTCAAACCTCTGGAATCTCTCTGCGAATGGATTCCAAAGGTGCATTCTGTAGCGAATGCCCAGTGAGCGGGGTCAGGAATCGCCCAGCAGCGCCACCAAAACAATTCCTGAGGTCCTTCTGGGACCTTCAACCGACAGCAAGGATGAGCCCTGCAGACCCCACGGTCGTGGAGTCCGTAAGGAACACCAACAGCCCACTTACCAGAGGAGAAAACGACGGAGGGATGGAATGATAAAGATCAAAAAACAGCTGAAGGGTCGAAGAATCCAAGAATGCTGAAACAGAACAGAACGCTGCATTGGCGACACCTCCAGTCACTGCTTGCCAGAAACCCAAGGCCTGTGTGTCCAAACCGAGACGAGCTGTGTGCTGTCACACAGGGCACTGCGCTCTGAAGAACGTCTCCAAAGGGTTTTACATTTTTACATCGCTTGCTTTCTGGCTTTTCCAGAAATCAACCAGCTGCTCTGCGGCGCTGGGACAAAACTACAGGGTAATATTTTAAGAAAGCAGCCAGAGGGACTGCCTGCAAAATGCCTGGTGAGAAGAGGAAGGGTGTGAAGAACAGCTGACGAGCTGACTTGTTATTTATAGCTTTTTTTTTCCCTTTTCTTTTTTTTCCCCTTAAATAATGGACTGTTGCTTGAATTGGCCTCTACGTCTGGCACTGGTACCAGTGCAGAAAGGCTTCCTCAAGTCGCCCAGACCTCCAGCTGGTACGCCTCCATGCAGGCCTCTTCCCCAGCAGGATTACCTGATCTCCAACTGGTTGGGATCTGCACAGTGCAAAGATCATCTGAGGACTCATCCGTCGACGTGCCGATGAAATCAAAGTTCAGGCAATTATGAGTGAGCTTTAGAAGCTGCATGAGCAGACCGTGCTGGCTCTCATCATTGAGGTTCAGGTTCTTCCCAGAAGCCTGTAAGAGATGGAGGATTTGAAAAGCATAGGTAAGAAAACCGAGGTGACGGCTGAGGCTGGGAGCCCAACTCAGCTTCACGGGGATGCAGCAGCCACAAGGATCACGCAGCAGCCAGCCCTGCTGCCCCGCTGACAGCACCTACACTCAGTCTTCACACGAGGTGGGTAAACACAGGGCTTCCTTTGCCACCTGCTTTGTGCTGCACAGGAGAGGAGCAGCCAGGCCTGCCAGCGTGCAATTCTACCGTGAGACTCCCGAGATACAGAAGCTCTCATTGAGGTTCAACTCGAGAACCCGCGTTGTGCTGACAAGCACCGGGCAGCAGGGAATCCCGTCGCTCCTCCCAGCCCTCGGATGGAAAGGAGTGCATTCACTTGTGCTGCACAGCTGATCTGTATCAGCCCTGCTCCAGTTGCAGAGCTCTGGCACACTCTCAAGTGGCACCAGGAAGTCGGTGGGTCTGAGACACCAGGTGGTTTCACTGCAGCTTAAATGCAGCACTCGGGGCTGCACTGCAGGGACAGGCCGGCCTCTCTCTGCTTTCTATCACTGCTCTGTGCTCGAAACAAAACAAACCTCTCCCAGCTTAAGCCCGCTGCAAATAACACTGCAGTGTGCTGACACTGCCAAGAGCCGTGCCAGCAGGGCTGGAATGTCTTCTTCACTCCCTCCACAATGAGGGGATTCTTCTGGGGCTGCCTGACTGCCTGCTGCTTTATGGATGCTGACAGAAGCGTCATCGCTGCTTTCTGGCAGCCCAGAGCATCTCCAGTTACTCTCAAAAGGATTTGGGCGTTCAGATAAATCCAGTCCTGCTCCAACGCCTCCCACAAACACCAGCAAGGCTGCACTATGCTCCAACCCTCAGCTCAGCCACCCGGCCGGGTGCTTCTCTTCACAAAAGTGGAGGAAGCCCACTCAAATACATCCTCAGCTGAAAGAGCTGAATTCAGCTGTTACCAGAGCTGCTCAGGGGGCACAAGGAATGAAAACCAGTGTAACTGTGCAGGCCGTGCTTCCTTTGGAAATCAGGGTAAGAAAAAGAAGCTCAAATCACTCCCACATCCCCGCTTTGTTACTGGCAGAACGAGAGCTGCTGGTTTTAAACCATCTTTAAAATAAAGCCTGCTTTTCGCTCTTTGTGCTATTTGTCAACGCCGACACATCGTTCAGCTGGAAGGATAGGAGTTGAACCACTCAAATCTGTGCAATTGCTGCACAGATAACATAAACCCAAGTGGAAGCTTTCCTAAAGAGCAGAACAGAGCACACAGAGTCCCAAGGTCCGCGTTGGAAGGAATGTCAGCCCAGAGGCTGCCGCCCCGACTCGCAGCCCCTAGGAACCAATGGCTTCCTTACCTGTTTCAGCAAATTGCATGACAGTGTGAAAATATCAAATAAAGATGAATCCCGGAAGGAAGAGGCTATTTTCCTGTGCTTGGTCAGAGGATGAGTCGTGTCAGCCTGGGCAGAGAGAAAAGCAGAGCTTAGAACCAGCAGGCAGAGGTGGCACGAGGCCAGCAGAACACACAGCAGCTCTGGGGACACCAAGGCTTCCCTCCAGCGCGGCACCAGGGCACACACTGCCCTCTGCGCTCCCTCCTCTGCACTGCTGGCTCACAGTGGAACCCCTCACCTACAACCCCGTTCTGCTGGATCCCTGGGTTACGCTCCAGTTCATCTGAACCCCCTCCAAAGCAGGACTGCAGGTGGCATTTGCAACGGGACGGAATCATGGAGCAACTCGAGCGCTGCTTTGCGAAGCAGCCCTGAGGGCTGGATCCTACCTGAAGCCGCTGGGCAGACACTCAATCAACTACCAGCAATTAAAAGGCCACTTACAACATCCCCTCCTGCACCTGCACAGATGGGAACAAGACTAGCAGAGTTAACCAGCAGCACACAGTTTGGAGTATCTGTCCCAAACTGCAGGCCTGGATCTCTCATCGTATCGGAATAAAAGGTGACGCGTGGTTTGGGAGGCAGATCAACACAGATTGCTGGGCAGGGGGTGACAAAGGCACCGATTCAGTGACCGCAGCCTGAACTGGGCTGGCAGCACAGACTGCCGCTCTGCTTCGTGTGAGCGCAGGACGCTCGGTGATGGGCAGAGCAGCAGGGCTTCCCACAGCCATTACAAACCTCCCTGCCCGCAGCAAACAAGAGTTTCCCTCTCCTTTAGCACGGGGTGTAACTCAGCTCCTGCAGGCACGCAGCACCTCCAGGCAAATCCGTGCAGCTCTTCAGGATGAAAACTGAGAGCTCTACACAGTTCCTAAGCGCTCTATTCCATCTGTGCTGCCAGCTTTTAGAACACCAGCTTTAGTCAACAGAGCTTCGGCAATTTCTGCTCTTGCATAACAGAAATGGAAGTTTAAACAGTTACCAGGAAAAGCTTGAGGACAAGGTGGGATTTTTTTTTTTGCTTGTTTGTTTGCTGTGTGCTTGACCCCGCTCTGACGAGTGGGAATGCGGACAGAAGGACGATTGTGCAAGCAGTGGCACTTTGAGACATTCCAAGATGAGTCGGTGGATGCAGCCCTGCGCAGGGCCAGCACAGAGCACAGGAATGCCCAGCAACCTGAGGCAGATTCGATACGCCAGGTTTTAGGAAGGGAATTCAGAGCGCAGACTCTGAGTTCATTGCTTTTCTGTTTGTTTTTACATCCATCTGTAGGGAGCGGGGAGGTGGAACGGGTGCCAGATTGTGGCTGATGGCTGCTGTGAGCACAAGGGCAGCCCTGCAGGGATGCTGACTGGGGGAGCAGGCAGAGCCCCTCCATCCCTGGTGTGAGGAGGTGCAGGACCTTCCTTCGTGCAGATGAAGTCACTGCCAGGAAACTGTGGCAGCAGCGAGGCAGGAGGAGCTGCAGGTTGGGATTTACTGACCCAGCCAGGCTTAAGAAAGTGAATTTGGGTCTGCAATGGTTGCAGATGCTGTTCAGATTACAGAGAAGGGCTCGGGAAGCTCAGAGATGCTCAACTTTAATTTCAGCAGGAGAAACTGGTGCTTGGACCTGGCCAGGAAAACACCTCCACCATTTCTAGCTCTGGACACTGCCTGTCATCATCTCTCAAACCCCACACACGGATCAATGCATTCTGGTGCTGGGATTAGTCCATTCATTAGCAGAAGTTACAGTTTTCCTTAGTTAGACACTAAAAATGAAATAATCAGCAAAACCCACTGAGTTCTATGGGCAGTGGAAGCCACCAACGGTGCTGTGACAAATTCTGTGCCACTCGGCAGGGAAGCGATGCAAGACAGCACCAAGCAAAATCACAGCACTCCTTAACCCCAGTGACCCTGAACTGTTTGGGAAGGGGCCAAAATCCAGCACTGAGTGACCAGGCTGCTTTAAAAGCCTCCACAACCTGACAGACCCTCTTTGTTTTGTCTCTCCTGGCACAAGAACCGAGCTGTAACAACGCACAGGGGCTGAGCAGGGGAGCTGGCAGCGATGTCCTGATGCTCTGGGCCTGGACTCGCTGCTCCCTCCTTTCTGATCTCAAAAGGTGACATGGAAGCATGAGAAGATGGAAGATGCCAGTGAAACAACACAGCTCCTCAGGCCGGGAGGAAGCAGCATCTTAATGCCCAGCTATGGGACTGGGTGAGAAACAAACAAGAAAAGGAAAAAATCCCACCCGCTACGCAACGCTCCCCACACCAACAAGGAAAAAACAACCCCCAGAAAGACAAGCAAAAACCCCCACCAAGGCACAGACACGGCAGGACACAGCAATATGAATGAGAAAATTGGACACTTACTTCACTGAGGAAGGCTGTAGCACTTACTTGATTAATTTCATTAGTTAGTTGGGACAGGATTGTCACTCCTATGATGCAGTGCTCTACACTATCCTGAGGAAGGAGGGGACAGGGAAAGGAGTTACTGCTGGGCTGCTTTCAGCAAACATCACTGCCACTCACAGCTCTTTCTGATGGAAGACTCCTAGACATCTTTCTCTACAGCTGCTTTATCCCTGGATGAGGGAAGAAGCCTGGGAGCAGCATCAGATGAGAATTTAAATGCAGTTAGGAACGACTTGATCTTATGAACAAGGTTTGATGAGGATCGTGGTGATGTGAGCTCGCAAATAACAGGCTCCTTTTATTTAACAGCTTAATCCCCGTGTTTGTTTCAGACCCCAACCCTGAGAAGATGGTTTATTTTTAAACCAGTTCCCTTGGTTTTAACAGCAGCTGTGCAGACGTCAGTGGCTCCAGAGCTGTCAGGTGGCAACTATGGGAAAAGAATTCTTCTTTTTGAGCTGCACACCTGGAATAACAGGAGCAGCAGCCCCACGGCCCATCTCCCAGGGAAGGGAGCCCATTCTTCACAGCCTTTTTGGCCTCTGGTTGCACTGCAGGCTGCCAACAGGGGCCCTGTTGTGAAAGGAGCCTGGAAGCAGCAGCCCACTCAGAGATGGCTCCAGAGAAGTGACCTGCATTGCTCCTTTGCCCCAGTTCCTGTTCTGTAGCTACCCAGCGCTGCTTCCTCCCCTGGCTCCACACCTTGGTCAGCACATCCTGCTCAAACTGCCCTCATCTCTTCCAACTTCCAAGACCAAACTCACCTGCGACACAAATCCAGGCACGTTTTGGTCTGGGACTTCACCACTTCTTTATGGGAGCCACGTGCTGCCCAGCAGCTCAGTGTCTGCACGCTATCTATACAGAAGGCACTGGGAAACCTCCCTGCTATCAAGATTAAATGAGGACAGCTGGCAGAGCAGGTTGATTTTTAGCTTTAAGCCTTGGAGTCACTCCTCATGTGTTCAGTCAACAAATGCAAATCAAATGAAAGACCAAACAGAGCTGCAGAGCAACGCAGAGCCAACGCAGAGACTTTCAAATCCCACAAGACGTGCATTCATCTTAAATTCTGACCTGCAAGAACCTTGTGACATCTGTGATCACGTTCCTGAAGACGTATTCATCCTTCTGACAGTCAAACCAGCCCAGCTTAGTGATCCTGGCATACAGCTGGATCAGTGCTTGTGTGACAAACGTGGCCAGCTTCGGCCTGGTGGCAAGGTAGTTGAGCACATAGTTTCCTGGAACACAGAGAAGAGGTTTGAGACCAAAACACGGCAGCTGGAGCTGAGATGCTGTGTTAGGATCAAAGTATCTTTGTGAAAGCAGTTAAAGGAAATAAAAAAATCAACCCTAAGGTGAGCACAGCAGTGGCTTGGATAAAAAGGTGGGTTTTGTTTGTGCCTTCGAGGCGCGAGAGCTGTGGGACAGATCTGGAAAGCAGGCAGACAGGCGTGAGCTCCTCCCCCAAAGGCGCCTGTGTGGCACCAGCTTAAATCCCAGCCTCTGTGCCCACGTGTGAGGAGGGAGGGAAGCTGGAAAGGTTTCTGAGATCTCAGGGACGATCGTTTATTGCATCACTTCTACAAAGGAAAGCAGATTCAGAGCCTTTCCCTGGAGGAAAGGAAGCATCAGCCACGATCCAGGGAAGAGCGCTGCGACAACGGCTGCTCCCTTAGGAAACACTGCCTGTATTCCAGAGAGCCAGAAAAAATTCACTTTGGAAAGCATGCCCTGCGAAGGGGAAATAGCACGTGTGTGTGAAGGTCCAAAGGGAACGTGTCCAGGATTCATTCACGAGCCTCACAGTCACCAATCCCCTCCATCTCCTCAGCCCTACAACTTCAACCCGGAGCTCCACCAGGAGACTCGGTGCAAGACAATCCTTGCTTTCCAGCCCACGCCTCAGTGTGAGGCACAGGAGGCTGCACAAAGCTGCACAAAGCTGCACCAGGCGGGGATGAAAGCGTGCACAACAGCTTCTCACATTCACTCCGCAAACCCAAGCCCTGTACTCACGGATATCAATTCGCTGCTCCAACGGTAGCGGGTTGTTTGTGCGTGACACGAGTTTCGTAAGGCATGTAGCTGCCAGGAGCTGGGAGTAGGACGACTGTGAAGAGAAACGAGGCACTGAGAGCACATTTCACAACAGGAGCATCAAGCGGGCAGTGCTGGATGCTAAGCCAGCTGCCTGCTGGCAATCCGGGTTTCAGATACTGGTTTTACGTCCTCTGCACCTCTGTGCACGCACCATCCCCCCCCTGCCCTCGTAACACCTTCATTTGAAGCTTGGCACGGCTGGGTGGCAGCCTGCAAAGAACGCAGCAAAGCTCACAAGAACAGCAGCTGGTTCTGCTGCAGCGCCTGCCGTCAGCGTGCCAAGGCTTTCCTTGGCAGAGGATGCCTACAAATCAAGACAGACACACGAGCACGCCGCGTGTGCAAGACACACAGTGCAGAGCAGAACGCGGGGCCAGCAGCCCCGTCCACGTCCAGAAGACTGAGACCCGCTGGAGGTGTTTTTGCTTTACATACACTCCCTCTTTCTAGAAGCAGCTGGCACTTGCTCAGGCAGTCGGGACTGTTGGTGAACTCAACCAGGGCCTTCTCTGCCTGCAGCCGTGTCGCAGTGTCTGTGGTCTCATACAGCTGCTTGCACAGGTTCTCTAGCTGGGCTAGGCTCTGGAACAGAGAGGAAAAATAGATGAGAAATGAGGTTTTGCAGTTTACTGACAGCACTGTCACAGCTGTTTCTGTGCCAAGCAGCGGCGACCCCCCCATCTCTGTTCGGATTCCCTTTGCGGGGCAGAGTGACAGACCTCAGCATCCCGGGATGCTGGGAGGACTGAGAGGAAGCCTTCAGCACTGCAGGCCACAGCCACCTAAAGCACAGGAGAACCAACGATGCGATGGCTGCCCCTGTGAAGGGAAATAAAAGCACCAGGCAGGCTGTGCTCAAACAGCTGGGGAATATTCACCCTGAGCCAGGCAGATGGTTTTCCCCCAAGGCGTCCCAGCTAAAAAGCAGCTCCGTGGATGGACATCAATACTCCCTCAGGTTCTTCCTGCTGGATTGACAAGCAGGTTTTTCCCACTGCTGCAGGGCTGCTTGCACAGCAGGATAGCATTGGCTGCTTGCTGTATTCCTGGACACATCCTCACGTCAAAACCACATCCGTGCCAGGGTCAGCGCGCAGCCCAACGCTCCTCATGCACAACTGCAGCAACTTCACACAAAGCTTTTGATGCTGCCAAGGCCACCAGATGAGACAGCATCACAAGAGGCCCAAGGAGGGACCCTGGTTGTCCTTTCCCAGGTAATGAACACATCTGCTGGTAAGTCCTGCAGGTGGGGTCCCCTGCAGCGAGAGACTTGCAGGAAGGCCCCCAGCACCCTGCAGCCTTTGTTACCCCTGCTAAGGAGGCAGGGCAAGGAACTCAAACCCAGGAGATGAGTCCTGGGTGCAACTTCACTGCTTTCTGGCAAACCCGTGGCTGGCAGAGGGCTCCCCAGGCACTGCCCCATAAGGATCCACTGCCACTAGTGGAAAAGGGCTCTAGAGAGCGTGTGACACCTCTGGCAAGAAGCACTCGTCCTTTTAAGAGCTCTTTCTGGCCAGTTTTGCACCCCCTGCAGGAATTCCTCGAGCTCAGGCACAGAGCTTCCTCGCAATGGCCCTCGCAGCTCCAACAGACTCCACTTCTCACTGCTGTGGGGCTCAGCAGCGCTGCCCCATGGCTTCTGTTCAGCCTGGCTGTGACCGGCTGGGACCTGAGCCAGCCCACGTGCAGAACCCGCCGCCTTCACTGCATCAGAGCCGCACAGCTCTCACAGGGCTCCAGCAGAACCTCCTCAGGTCACCCAGGAGTCAGGGCCGCCGTCAGGGGATGCTGCAGCCACTGCAGCACGGCTTCCAGGTGAAAAGTGACAGATGTAGGAGAGCTGCCCCCAGTTATCCAGCAGCTCCGTGGAGAGTCCGTGTCCACGCCAGCTGCTGGCACCCATCCCACCTCCTGCGGCGCTGCGTGAGCCGTCCTGAGCATCCCAGCAGCCCAGACCTGCAGCTGATCTTCGCTCCATGCTTCTTTTGCACACTGTCCCCAAAAGCAGAGCTGCAGAGGTGGCACACAGAGAAACAGCAAAGCCTGGGAGGGCGACGCCAAGAGCGAGCCAAGGCTGCACACGTGGAGCTTTCATTCTGCCCACGGTAAACCATCATCCTCCCCACCAAAGGGACAGCAATGAAGCCAGCTTCACCCCTGCACGGCGACGCTGGGGCAGCAAGGAGGCAGGGAGCACCTCAGCAACGCCTCTCCTTCAGGCAAGATAAAAAGGCAGCACTCAGTGTAACGACCAGGCAATGCGAGCGCCCTGCGTGCTGCAGATAAGCACTAAAGCATGAGACAGCAGAGCCCGTGAAGCACGGAAAGGCTCCGGCACGCGGGGCTTTGCTGAGGGTCACAAAGGTAAAATGGCACCGAGGGCAATTCCAGCTGACCAACACCTGTGTTTTCTTTGCTCTTTTGAGAGCAAGGGGGATCTGAAAACATGATTTACAAAGCAAGATCCTGCAGGGCGGCTGAGAAGGCGGCCAGCTTCTGGTCTGAGGGCGCGCAGCAGCAGCAGGCCCAGGCTGCTGGGGACATGGGGACAGCAGTGGAAGGAGAAGCAGCGAGTTGGCGTTGAGGTGCTGAGTCACAGCAGGCAGCCCTGGGCTCCCAAACCTCCCCTGCTGCCTTTGGCAGAGCACTGCGAGCCTGGGGTTCTGGGGGGATGCTGGTACAGCCGCAGCTCCTGCAGCAACCCAGGCCCTTTGGTCCACGTTCTCTCCCACACTTCGTGCTGTACCGAGGCTCAACGACAAGCTGGAGCCCCAGCCAGCAGCACTGAGCTCAACTGCGAGCCCAGAGCAGATATAGGAACGCTGAGCTGTGTTCACACAACTGCTGTGCTAAGGCTCCTCAGCTCAGACACCTCGTGGCGTCGCTGCCTACAGCCCCACACCCTTTCCCTGTGTTCACCTATTTGTGACAGCTCCGGCCTCTTTCTGAACCCTGGCAAGGTTTGTTTCGCAGTTCTCGGGTTGGTTTTGCATCTCTTCTCACCCTGAGCACAACAAAGCTGGGGGCCTGATGCAAACCCACGGGCAGGATCCACGTCAGGGATCTTCCATGAGGGCCGGTTGCCCTGTGCACACAGCAGCCCCTTGATGAGATCTGGGCCTCGGATGCCTGCCGAGAGCAGCTCTGAAGCTCAGAACGCAGAAGAAAAGCAACCCATCAATCTTATTTCTACCATGAGCTGCAAATAAAACTCATCACCGCGCCGGGTTTTCCCCACGGTGAAGATAAACAACGTGCGATCATCTTTAAAATGATAAACACTACAAGGAATGCAACAGCTACCTAAAAAGGAGCCCCTGGGGGCTGGCTGTGGAATTGATCCTATATTACACGGTTGCTTAAGCAACGCTCTTTACATCCAGGGGTTGCAATAAGCTGCAGGCAGGTTCAGTTCAATAGGGTTTGACTTCAGCACGCTGGCAGCTCCCATCTCAGGCAGGGAAGGCTGTGCTCTGCAGGCCCAAGATGGAGCAGCACGGGGAGCCCCCAGCACAGCCACTAACAGGTTCATCACAGCCACCCAAGCTTTGCTGCCGCCTGGGTGTCACCCTGCAGGATGAGCACGGCTGGAGGCGCTCACATGCTGTTCCAAGGCAGGCATTCCTTCCTCCTGCCTGCTTCCTGCCTCCCTGAGCCACAGGTCCTTCCTTGTGCTCAGCGTTATCAGCACCCTGAGCACATCCACAACTTATTCCTCCTGCGTGTCACCAGCAGAGGAGGCCTGGGAAGCAGAGGGCACGCAGTGAGAGCAGCAGGCAGCAGCAGTGACTGTGTGCCCACCGCCACGGGGACCCCCAAGCTGCAGGCATTACCTGGCCTGGGAGGAAGATGATGGTGATGATGATGCTGAGGTCAGGGCTGGGAATCACTGCGCTTTACCAAACTCATGGCAGCAGTCGGAGGGCTGCGGTGACAGAAGCGGCTCGGGTCACCTGAGCTATTTCAACCAGGAACAAAAAAGCTTTTAAACGGAGCAGTTCAACTCTTCAGCACTGAGGAGCACGGTGATGCATCTCCTGAGCGCTCACCGTTGTGAAACCCAGGGCTCGTGGCTCATCGCCCTCACTGCTAAGGGAATCTCAACTAGAAACGGCCCATTTCCATTTATGCTGCTAACAAGAGAAAGAAAACTTCACTTACGCCCTTCCAGAACATCTCCAAGAGTTATTTAGTGCAGCAACGCTTCCAGGCATCTCCCGGGGCATCACTAAAGAGCTCTCGTTTATTTCCTTATGATGAATGGCCTTCAAGTCGAGCTGCAGGGGACTCCTCTCAGGCCCAGCCCTGCTATTTCGCCCCACAGCAGCACTGACACCCCTGTAAGCCAGCACTGCCAACAAAGCGCCCAGAATGGGATGGATTCCATCGCACGGAGCTTCAAAATGAGGATCTGATACCCTGAGCAACTGGAGAAACCACTGAGACACGGCACAAACCCTTCAATATTTCAGCTGGCTGCAAATAAACACCGCTGCTCCACCGAGGCTTTGCTCCAGCAGGATTTGCTCAGCTGCGTTGAGGAACCGAGAGCAAAAGGGAGCAAACAGGACGCAGAGCCCCAAAGCTGACTGCTCTTCTGGGCCTGATGGGCGAAGAGTCAGAGCAGCCTCTGCATTTCTGCTCCCTCCAGGCACGGCTGTGCAGCTGCACACAGCTCTGCTGATGCCCACCGACACTGCGGGAGCAGCAGATACAAATCCATGTCCCAGAGCAGCTGGGGGACGGGTTCTGCCCCAGCAGGGCCCAGGCAAAGAGAACAGCAGCCCAACGCAGGGCGCAGGTGCTCCTTCCATTTGGGAACAGAACGGGAGGCTGGGCGGCAGCAGCACCTCTGTATGGGAGAATGAGTCACTGCCATCTCTCTTTCCCTTCTTATTTATGTGCCACATTCGTGCGCTGCTTCAGAAATTGCAGCAATTCCTCCTCTCTTTTGGAGGACTCAATGTTCCCTGCTCACCTGAAGGCTTCCCGCTTGGCAAAGGTCGGCCGTTTCCTAACGAGCAGCAACCAGGAAATTAGGAAACAGCAAGCACAGGGCACACGTGGGAGCAACACAGCGCTGAAGGCAGGGAGGAGGAGAAGCTCTTCCACAAACATCTCCCTGCCACGCTGAGCCGAGGGAGGCAGCAAAAACCCTCTGCACCAAAACGAACCCGAGAGCTCAGCGTGTTTTCCACCATACCAAGCTCTAAAGCTGCTCCGGCGCTGCTCGAAGTCAGCAAAGCACTGCAGGTTACCTTCGGCGCCCTGTTTGAGCTACAGACATTTATCTGCTGCTACGAGAGAAACAGCACAATTCATATTTCCCAGCACGACGTCCTTGGACTCTCACTCCTGCAATCAGCGCTTCCACAAACACCGCGCGGTCGCTGCTGCGAGGGCACCGAGTTTTCCAACAGGAGCCCAAGGAAAAGCGTGGGGATGATGCAGGAATCGCAGCCCCGCGCCGTGGGAACACGGCAGACGGGAGCAGAGGGGTGAGTGCTGCTCACCAAGCACTGCTTGGCTGCTCCGTACGGCCGTGGCAGCATCCAGCCCTGTGTCTGCTGCGCAGCGCCTGCTCCGCTGGCTCCCGTTTGGTCGCATTTGGCTGAGGACGCCCAGAGCTGCTGTGGGAGGGATGCACCAAAGCTGGACGAGGAGAGGGAACTCCCAGATGGCAGCGTGACTCTCAGATTCTTACAACCAGTCACACAGCAGGAGAGCACAGAGCATTCGCTACCAGCGAACGAAAGCACAGCCCCAGAAGCACAAAATTACCAGCAAAAAGACAATTGGAAGTGGTAAAAATCGAAGTTCGCCTCTGTTCCAGCAGACCTGAGCCCTGCAGGCTTCTCAAAAGCGTTAAGGCGTTACCAGCAATCACAAAGTTGCTCTGCTTTCCGGCCCCAACCCAACACCACTGCTGTTACTTTGCTGCCTGGGTGCCGAGCATCCAAGCAGCGCGGTTACAACAACAACTAATTTGCAACACAACTGCTGCCAGCTCCGTTTTTAGTGGAGGCAGCCCGCACCTCCCCTCCCGGCTATTCTGAGATCAATACAAGCCCTCAATGGAGCAGCGACACGCAGGAGGGAAAACCTTGAGCTAAACCAAAGCATTGCAAGCGATTGCTGCGCCTGCCTGTGTTGTACCAAGCAGGTGCGGGGTTACAGGAGAGCAAACGGAGCCACGCAGCGCAGGGCCCAGGGTTCCCTTGGTGTGCTGTGGGTTTCTAAAGCCAAATTTGATCTTGTGCTTGAGGCAAAATGACAAAAGCCTTCTAAAATACGGAAACAAGGGAAAACAAAGCTCCTGCTGGGGATGGAAGCACCCAGCTGAGCAAAGCACCTCCAGAAGCGCCGGCTGGGAGATGCTTTCTGAGCACGGCAGCAAACCGAGGCCCCTCCAAGCCCTCCTGCTGCCCCTTCTGAGCACAGCCAGTGCCCCCAGTGCTGCAGATCTCTGCCACGTGGGGATGGAGCCAAACGATGCCCATCCCAACGCAAATCAAGGTTTCCTCCATGATGGCTTTGAGACGAAAGCAGCAACCTGCCTGCTGCCGACCCTCTGCAGAGCAGGATCCAACACACAGCAACGTCCAAACCGAGCCCGCAGTCAGGTAACACACGGGCAAATCCTTTGGGATGCCAGATTCCACGTTCTTCTATAGCAGCAGCAGCTCAGTGCTTCTCTTCCTGCATCTCATTCCTCTCAGCTCACAGCCAGGTTACCCCAAGCAGGAGAGAGGGGCTCAAACAGAACTGACGACGGCTTCCACGTGGCACCGTCACAACTCCACACCAACACGACACTCCACGCTCAGAGCCACAGCTCTGTTAATTGTTCTGTTAATTACCAGCAAACATTCTCCTGCAGGGACATTCACCCTCAGGAAGCACAAATCCCATCTCAGGGCAACAGCAGGGAAAACATCCAAGCGTAAGGAAAGCAGAAAGCAAAGATGAACAGATCCGTTTGCACCGTGTGGTGGGATAAAGGAATAGGGCTGCATCTGCCCACAGAGCTAAAGGCTGCTTGCTCTGCTCTGTGAACAAGTTTAGGCCGTGCTTCCAAGCCTGGGATCAGCAATATGCATCCGTGAGCTGACAGATGGGCAAGCTGGTGTGCAGCAATTCACCTGGAGAACGCAGGGCCCTTCAGCCCCACCACAACACCCTGCTGCACTCCTGCTGCCTCAGCATCACAGCACAAACCCAGCAGCCTCCTCCCGCTCAGCTGCAGCTCCAGGGCATCGCAGCTCAGTTTGCATCACCTCCAGTTCCCAAAGCCCCGTGAGGGTGCGACCTCCCCCTCGCAAAGCTCTACAAGCTCACCTTCCTTCTCACTGCTCTGCCAATAACCTCTGCGATGGCCCTGTGTGCCCACCAGGCACCGTAACCCTTCCCCTACAGCCCGATTAAAGCCCAGCCTGCCAGCACACGACGCCCAAAGCAAAGCTCTCACAAACCCTGGGAACTCTGCACAGCTCCCAGCCGCCAGCATTTATTGGCAGCGGCGGCCCCTATTAAAACAAGGCCAACTCCCACAGCATGTGCCACTGAAACAGCTCTCCCCATTATCCACACTGGCAGCACACGTTGCAGGATAACTCAGCGACTGCGGGGCAGCTCGGTTCAGGCCATAAAATCATTAAGGATGCAACAGAGATTTAAGTTCATCAAACCCAGCCGTGCCGAGCAGGCTGGGCTGTGAGGTGACAGCAAAATCTCTGACACAATCACAGAACGGCCAGGGTTGGAAGGGACCCCAAGGATGATGAATCTCCAACCCCCACCACAGGCAGGGCCACCAAATTCCACATTTCATAGCAGCCCAGGCTGCCCAGGGCCCCGTCCAACCCGGCCTTGAACACCTCCAGGGATGGACGGGGCATCACAGCCTCTCTGGGCAGCTGTTCCAGCACCTCACTGCTCTCTCTGTAAAGACCTCTCACCCCAAACTCAATCTATTCACACAAAGCACCGCCTCCTGCAGGCCCAACACATCCAGAGTCAGTTCTGAAGGGAACCTCTGTGCCGAAAGGAACTACACGAGGCTCCCTGGGTGCTGCACCTGGAGCAGAGAGAAGAAACAGACCATCAGCAGCGTGCAGAGCACACACAGCTGTAACGCTGAGCGACTCCTCCAGCTCTGTTTGCCCTGCAGGAACCACGCCGGGCCGCAGCTGCCCCAGCTCTATTTGCAAACCAGTCCCCCGAGCGGAGCATCTCCCACATTGCAGCCTTTAAACTTTAACTCCATAGAGCCGAACGCGGCCATCGCGACCCCGTTTGGCCGCTTGTAACTCACAGAACGGCCAGGGTTGGAAGGGACCTCAAGGATCATGAATCTCCAACCCCCTGCCACACGCAGGGCCACCAACCTCCACACTTCATACCAGCCCAGGCTGCCCAGGGCCCCATCCAACCCGACCTCGAACACCTCCAGGGATGGACGGGGCATAACTCCCACTTGCTGAACGCAATATTTAACAAAGAAAAGCAAAGCGAGGAGGCAGGATTTCAAACCACGACAGCAGCAGCTTCCCGCAGCGCGCAGCTCAACGGCTTTAACGGCACGGCACCCAAACGCGGCCTTCCTTCAGCAAAGCGGCTGCGTGGCAACCGAACAACGCGGCCACCCCCGGGCTCACGCACGGCAGATCCGCTCCACTTCTGTCCTAGGGATGAGGCGGGCCCGGCAGCGGCGAGGCCGGGCGGCGGGCATAGAGCAGGAGCCGCGCTGCAGAACCGGGCCGCGCTGCAGGAACCGGGCCGAGCTGCAGGAGCTCCGCCCCGCGGCACCGCCCCGGCCGTTAGGGACCCTCAGGCCCCGCCGCATCCCTCGGCCCCAGGCCCAGCCGCGGCCTACCGAGCCTCACCGCCGCCCGCCCAGAGCAGGCCGCGCTAGGCCGCAACCGGCCCGGAGCCCGTCCTCGGAGTCCCCCGATGGCCCGGAAAGGCTGAGAGGAGCCTCCCCGAGCGCCCCGGCCGTCCGCGGCCCCCCCTCACCTGCACATGATCCGCCATTTTGCTCCATTCATGCTCCGCTCCCTCCGCCTCCGCCGGGCCCGGCACGCGCCCGCCTCCGCCCCCCCCACCCCTTCCTCAGCCACCAGCGCCGCCGCCTCAATGCGCGTGCGCGTCGCGCCCTCCCGCCTTTCGGCGCCTGCGCCGTTCCCGCCCACACCTTTGACCACGCCCACCCCGTCTAACCACGCCCACTTCACTTGACCACGCCCAACTCTCGTTACCACTACCGCCCTTGACCACGCCCACCCCCTCTGACAGCGCCCACTCCATTGACCTCGCCCAACCACTTGAACGCTGCCGCTCCTTGACCACGCCCACTCGCTAAAGACACGCCCACCCGCCTCAGCCCCCCCCCCCGGGCGCGACGGGGACAGCACGGCGCCCCCTGCGGCCGAGTGACGTCACGACGCCGGCGGCGCCGCGGAGGGAGGGGCGCGCTTTGTTGACATCGCTCTTAAAGGGGCCGCGCTCCCTTTTCGTCCCCGCGTGCTGCTCCCGTGCTCGCCGTGCCCCCGCCGCCCCCGCCTCCCCCGCCGCCCCCGCCGCCCCGCCGCCCCCTAATTCTTCCGCAAAGCACGGAGCGGGTTTTTGCTTGGCGTCACCCGGCCCCGTTCTCTCCCCTCCCCGCGGAAGTTCTGTGCATGGGATGCTGCCCCCGCGTGGCCCGAGGGTGAAATCGCGAAGGGCTGAGGAGCGCCCGGAGCTGCTGTGCAGCGCGCCTTGGGGCGCAGCTCTGCGGGACCGGGGGATGCATTCCCTGCATGCGCTGAAGGGCTGCAGTGCTCCGTGTGCACCAATGGACGCGTTTCCTGCACACATCGGGCGATCCTCTGCATGCAGCAAGGGATGCAGTGCTTTTCATGCACCTAGAATGTATTCCCTGCAAGCACCAGAGAATCCCATGCATGCACTGAGCGCTGAGGCGCAATGCATGCACTAACGTGCATGCTTCCTACGTGCACTAACCAATGAGGTGCTTTGCCTGCACTGAAGAATGCATCCCCTGCATGCAGCAAGGCCTGTAATGCTCTTCGTGCACCAGCAGATGCTACGCTTTGCATGCACCAAGGGATGCATTCTCGGCTCGCTGCACCTCCTGCACACCCAGAGGGCTTCATTCCCTGCATGTGCTGACAGACACCATGCATAGGCTGCATTTCCCACATGCACCGTGAGCAGCAATCCCACAGACCCCCTGCCAACCCATGCCCACCTCCACCCCACGCCATGCACCAGGGCAGCCTGCAGCGCAGGATGAGCAGCAGCATCACGCTGCAGACGAACCACGGGCTCCCACCCACCCAAACCCCAGCGCACCCCCCCGTTTTTCAGGTCCCCATTCCCACCCCAGCAGCTTCTCAGGGCCCCGCGTGCAGCTGCGCACCCGGCTGCCCTTTATGGTAACGGCGCGAAGGCAGGAAGCTGAGCATGGGGAGGAAACAGCAGCACCCAACCGCACATCACGTGGCGTCGGTGCAGACGGGGCGCTGGGGAACAGCGAGTGACAGAGGGGCAGCACAGACGGATGCTCTGGGCTGCAGGATGGAGGAGGCGGTGGTGAAGCAGGGCGTGCTGCACCTGCAGCTGCAGCAGACCTTCGGCAAGGTGAGGGTGCAGCATTGGGGGGGGCTTCCTGCTGGGGTTCAGGGGGGCTGTAAGCAATGACAGCGGGATGTGCAGCCCCCCGAGCATCCTTGAGCTGGAGGATTCGGTGCTGGGATGCGGCGCGAAGAGATGCAGTGCAAGCAGAGATCCTGTGCAGCTCTCGGGATGGGGTGAGGCGCAAAGCGATGCAGCCCCCATGCGCCGTTGCTTCAGAGGGAGCTGCGGGTCGGCGGCGGTGGCTGCTGCTCTTGTGCAAGGAGGAAGGAGTCATTCACCACGCTGGGTGGGGAGGATGAGCAGCCAGCAGGATGTGGGGGCCGCAGAGCAAATGGGGTGGGTTTGGAGCTTGGCTTTAACAAAAGGTGCAGCAGTTCGGGCTGCTGGGCCCCACAGGTTCCCCTTGGAGCCCTGCAGGAGGTGAGTTTGGGGGCAAAGCTTCCTCTGGGGCTGCACACCTCCCATGCAAAATGCAACGAACTTCCGTGCCTGCTGAGAGGGCGTGAGTCAGGGGTTGCTCTGAAGGTGGTGGTTTTAGGAACAGGGGAGTAAATGGGGAGCTGGAAGCCCTTTGGGGGGCATGGATCTTGGGGCGATGCCATGGGAAGGGGGATGGGGGGATGCAATGAGAATAGGGGTGCAGAGGGCAGGGGAAAGGCATGGATAAGTGGGTGCCATGAGTAAGGGGATGCCATGGGTGGGGGGATGCAATGAGAAGAGGGATGCAATGGGCAGGGGTGCCATGGATAAAGGGCTTCCATGGTCAGGGAGATGCCATAGGTTAGGAGGTGCCATGGGTAAGGGGATGTCATGGATAAGGGGTTTCCAGGGTAAGGGGTTTCCATGGATAAGGGGTTTCCAGGGTAAGGGGTTTCCATGGGTAAGGGGTTTCCATGGGTAAGGGGTTTCCAGGGTAAGGGGTTTCCATGGATAAAGGGTTTCCATGGATAAAGGGTTTCCAGGGTAAGGGGTTTCCAGGGTAAGGGGTTTCCATGAGCATGGAGGTGGTTTCCCCACGTCCCCCCCAGGCTGGGTGATGCTGAGCAGCCTTCAGTTCCCCTTTGCAGCCCAGGGACCCCATCTCCCTCATGCTGCGCTTGGGCTTGGAGATGCTTTCCCCACCCCGCCCAGACCCCCAGGGCTCACGCGGGCATTTTGGGGACGAGCCGCCGCCCGGATCACGGAGCATTTTGCACCAATGGCCAATTGAAATTCCCTGGAAGGGCGAAAGCAGCGCTGCTGACCCTGCCTCCTTTCGCTGCTCCGCATCAGAAATGGAAGAAGTATTGGGGCGTTCTGTACCGCGAAACCCCCTGCTCCACCGCCCGCCTGGAGCTCTTCGAAAGCGCCGACAAACCGCGCAGGGGCGAAAGCAGCCGGCGCCTGGTGAAGCTGAGCGACTGCGTGCACGTGGCCGAGGCGGGCGGCGAGGCGGGCTGCCCCAAAGCCACGGCCCCGTTCCTGCTGGAGACCACCGAGAAGCGCTACCTGATGGCGGCCGAGGGCGGCGAGGCGGAGGGGTGGGTGAGGAGGCTGTGCCAGCTGGCGTTCCCGGTGAGAGCTGGGGGATGTGGGCATGGGTGGGTGGGGGGATCGGGGTATTGGGGGAGACGGGTCCTTCTGGGGGGTGGATGGATGGGATAAGTTTGGCGTGGGGATGCTGGGTCCATTTGGGGTATGGATGGATCCGTTTGGGGTATGGATGGATGGGATAACCTTGGCATGGGGATGTTGGGTCCATTTGGGGGATGGATGGATCCATTTGGGGGATGGTTGGGTCAATTTGGGGTATGGATGGATGGGATAACCTTGGCATGAGGGATGCTGGGTCTATTTGGGGCATGGATGGATCTGTTTGGGGTATGGATGGATGGGATAACCTTGGCATGGGGATGCTGGGTCCATTTGGGGGATGGTTGGGTCCATTTGGGGGATGGTTGGGTCCATTTGGGGTATGGATGGATGGAATAAGTTTGGCATGGAGCATGCTGGTTCCATTTGGGGAATGGATCCGTGCAGGGTATGGATGGTATAACTGGGCTGTGAGGTGGGCTGGATCAAATTGGGGTATGGATGGATGGGATAACAGGGTTGTGAGGTCTGCTGGGTCCCACTGGGATACGGATGGGTGGGATGACAGCAGTGTGGGAGCCACGGCTCAGCCCTGACTCTTCCCTTGCAGAGGAGCCAGGAGGAAGAGGCAGTGGGGAAGGACAGAGAGCTGAGCTCCGACAGCGAATTCTCCATGGCTGAAAATTCCCTGTACAGCTCCCACAAAGGCGAGTGTCTGGGTGTGGGGAGGAGGCCGTGTCTGTGGGTGAGCGGCGTCCTGCAGGCAGCACGACTTGCAGAAGTGGCCTTTGGGTGCTTTTCCTGCGCTGCGGTTAGGCTGGGCTGGGTTTCGTTGCGGCTTTCGCCTTTATCAGCCGGACTCCGCTTCCCCTCCGGGGCTGTGAGCTGCAGCACGGTTCAAACATCCCCTCCTCCTCCCATCCCCAGGCGTGGAGCACGACTTCGAGGTGACGCTGAGGGCCACCGAGTCGTCGGAGCGCTGCCGCCTGCGGGGCCGCTTCGTGCTGCGGGCGGGCGAGGAAGCCTTGGAGCTGCGGGACGTGAAGAGCAGGGATGTCCTTTACAGCTGGCCCTACCGCTTCCTGCGGCGCTTCGGGAGGGACAAGGTTTGGGGGTGCTCAAAGGGTGGGATTGTGAGGGAGGAGGAAATCGTGGAACTGTAAAATGATTGGGCTTGGAAAAGACCCCCAGGGTAATCAAGTCTAACTGTCGTCCCGTCCCCACCGTGCTCTTGGAGTCGTTGAGGTTGGAAAGGATCTCTAAGGTCATCCAGCCAAATGTTGACCCATCCCCATTGTGCCCATAGGGTCAATAAGGTTGGAAAGGACCTCTAAGGTCATCAAGCCAAGTGTTGACCCATCCCCACTGTGCCCATAGGGTCAATAAGTTTGGAAAGGTCCTCTAAGGTCATCAAGCCAAATGTTGACCCATCCCCACCGTGCCCATAAGGGTCAATAGGGTTGAAAAAGACCTAAGGATCATCGCATCCAACTGCTGACCCATCACCGCCGTCCCCACACAATCACTGAGGTTGCAAAAGACCACTGAGATCACCGAGTCCAAGCAGCCCATCCCCACCATCCCCACCATCTACGTCCCCAGGCTCCACCCCTCCCTTCCCAGGAGAGATGATGCAGTTCCCCTCCTCCAGGTGACTTTCTCCTTCGAGGCCGGTCGGCGTTGCGCCTCCGGCGAAGGGAACTTCGAGTTTGAGACCAGACAAGGCAACGAGATCTTCCAGGTGATCGAATCGGCCATCGCCGTGCAACGGGAAAGGGGCGGCCCTGGGGACGAGGGCACACGGCCTCGCCAACCCACCCAGCTCCCCGAGAGGGCTCAGGAGCACGAGGAGCTCCGCGCTAAGAGCGTCTACACCGAACCCCGCGGCC